AAAAAAAACACATTTGGTTCATGAGTAGTACAGCTTGCAGGAATACTGAATAGACAAAATGGAGCCTTCCACAACTTGATTTTGTTTAAGAAAGAMGCCAAGCAATCAAAAATTATTTTGGCATGCACTGAGCCTTCAGTTGGTTCCAACTTCCAATCTGTCATAATTCAATTCTAATGAACAGAAYTAATCCAGTGAACACTTGAGCCAAAATAACTATTTGTGTTACCATGCTAGCTCATATTGCAGTTTAATGGACTGAGGGCTAACATTTTTTACAGGTTCTTCTAAGAGGATACTGATTCAGCTTTCATTTACATGAAGAGAAGAACTGGACTATACTCAAGTTCATTACCCAATGCCATCTGGGGCCTTAGATGGGGTGGACTGGGTAGGGATCCAAGCTTTGGCATTTTTTGGCGCAAATTGACTTCTCTCAGACTCAAACCTGCTTTCTCACTGTCTCACTTGCCAGACTGAAATTTCACCATTACACCAAAAAATGAACCATGCTCAAGGCCCGGAAGATATTTGACTTCCATCAGTGGCAACATAGATTATGAAAATGAGGAAATATCATAAAACAATATTTTATTCAGGTTGCTTGATATGTTAATAATGACATTTTAACCCTTATTAGGATCTTACACCAACTTGAAAATAGGCATTCCTGTAAATAATAAAGAATTTAAATAATAACAGAAGCTACATTTTGCCTTTGATTTAAGTAGAAAGCTGAGACCAAGGACTGACTAGTACCTCATATGGCATTTACAGTCAAGTTGTTTCAATTGTATGCTGCATTTGATCTTCATGATCTATGATTCTGTTTTGCATTACAACAGGGGAGATCAATTTCCACACTGCACATGGTTGAAAAAACATATTCAACATAACTTGGCATTTGTCGGTCCATTTGATTCAGTTTCTGGCTTCATCCAACTAGGAAAGAGATATGTGACTATAAGGCAGCATACATTTTGAATCAAATAAAAAAAGAATTAACATGCATTTCTGAATCAACTGGCATAATTATTTTGCAAGTAAAATTATGATGATTAAAGAACTAAAATGCATGTCAGAACCTGATCATGAAAGCAATTTTAAAAAGATGGTATTAATGGAAGAAAACTGCACAAATTCTCCATGCATGGGCAAGAAAATCCTTTATTGAAGGAATTTATTAATGAATATGGAGTTTGCTTACAGTATATAGTAGCTGCAAACCACTCGTTGATAATTTTCACCCATGTACTAGCCCAGCCAACATCAATGCTCCATCTGATTGTCATAAATGCACAAGTAGAGCAAATATATCAAGATGTCTATGAAGTATAAACTACCAAATATGTATACCTGGATAGAATGGAAACTGTAGAAACTAGTTCCATACTTCCTGGTTGAATGATCAAGCTGCCAGCTGACAAATAACATGCCAAAATACATGGACCCCATTGAAAATATGAAGTGGAAGAACCCATACTTATATGGGATATCATCTTCCCCTTGAACTTCATCCTTGCGAAACTGAAAATCATATCAGGAATGCTCTCTATTATTTCCAAAGATAAAATAGGAAGAAGGACTATCTTATTTTCCTGCCAGAACTTGAGGTTGATAAGATCACTAGCAGATCCAATCTCACCCGAAAGGATTCTGAGTCTATTCCAGTGGAAAAAGTTGCCATGACGATTGCACAAATTGCAATTAGGAAGCCCTGGAAGCAGCATCAAGGCAATGAAGACAAAATCCAGCAAGGAGGTCAGGAGAAAAAAGGAAACAAAGGAACATGAGCAACTGATTAAACAAGATATGTTAGTATAACAATTTTTCCAACTATTTGATGGATGAAGGCAGTGTTAGAACAGTGTGATATTTTGGATTGCTATTCACACTTGAATAATTTAACATTCCTCTTGCAACTTGTTTTCTTAGTAAAATGATCAAAGGACAGTAGGAAGAGGAGAGAAGAGGGAAGGGAGAAGAGAGAAGATAAAGATTTGGAGTAAAAAAGATGGGCTGGTGGCACCAGCATTTCTATTTATATTAGGGCGACATAAAGAAAAGAATACAATGACAAAAATGCCCCTGCAGCATAGTACAACTACTATTAACTCTCCCCCTCATGTTGGGACATTGATATCAATCATGCCCAACTTGTCCACAAAATTTCAGCAACACCATGAGACATGGCTCTATATTCTACTTCTACACTAGATCTCGCAACCACACTTTTCTTCTTACTCCTCCATGTGACAAGATTTCCACCCATAAAAGTGCAATACTCACTAGTGGATTTCCTATCATTTACAAACCCAACCCAGTCAGCATTTGTATACACCTTCACCTTCAAATTCCATGCTTCTAGAAGAGTAAACCAGCCCCTAGATACTTCTTGAGATACCCAAGGATCCTCTCTGCAGCCTCCATGTGGGCAGCTCTTGGTGCATGCATGAACTGGCTGAGGACACCTATTGTATATGCAATGTCTGGTCTACAATAGCTTTCCCACAATCTTTGGAACTTTTTCACATATTTTATTGTCTCCTCATCAGAATCACCTAATTTGTATTAGGATCAATAGGAGAATCAACTAGCTTCACCCCCAGTTTACTAGTGTCCTGAAGAAGATCTAGGATGTATTTCCTTTGAGAAATGAAGATACTTTTTTTTTGAGTGAGCAACTTTAATTCCAAGAAAATGCCTCAAAGGGCCTAAATCTTTCACTTCAAATTGAGTAGCTAAAAATATCTTCAGCTTCACAATCTCACTTGACCAATCTCCAATGACAACTATATCATCAACATACATAATTACTACTACAATTTTTCCTTCTCCTCTCTTCATAAATAATGTATGAGCAGATTGACACTGCTTGAAACCAATCTGTTGCATAGCTAAGTGGAACTTACTGAACTAGGCTCTTAGTGATTGTTTTAAGCCATACATAGATTTTTTTATTTTGCACACTTTTTGTTCACTGCCCTTAGCACAAAAACCAGGAGGTTGGGCCATTCAAAAAAGCATTCTTAATATCTAATTGATGAAGTTCCCGGTCAAAGTTGGTAGCCAAGGAAATGAAGACTCTAATGGAGTTCATCTTGGCCATTGAAGCAAAAGTCTCAGCATAATCAACTCCATATACCTATGTGAACCCCTTTTTCCACCAACCTAGCTTTATATCTTTCTACTGTGCCATCAACTCTATGTTTCATTGTAAATACTCACTTACACCCTATTGGTTCTTTACGATCAAGAAGGTCCACCAACTCCTATGTATCATTTTTGTGTAGAGCACTGATTTCCTCTCTCATTGCATCCCTCAGGAACTAACAAGGCATCTGCTACATTCTTAGGGATAGGAACATTGTCAATGAAGGAAAGAAAAGCACGGAAAGAAGGTGAGATGTTCTCATAGGAAACAAAATGGGAGACAAGGTATTTGGTGGAACAAGATCTAACACCCTTTCTTTTAGCAATAAGAATGTCAAGATCATTAGCAATAGAGGTGTCTATATCAAGGGGTTCAGGCATATCAATGGGAATAATGGTACTTGGTAGGGAAGGATTTTCCCCAGAGATTCCGATGATGTCATTGCTATGGCTTCAGGTTGCTCTACTACTTCTGAACTCAGCCAGTCCTTTCAGAGACAAAGAAAAACACAGAATGGAGAAGGATCAAGAAGAGAAGGAAGATGCACTTGCTTGTGTTTATCCTCAACCCTACTCTCCCTCTAAGGAGAAACAAGAAAGTAAGGCTCACTCTCAAAGAAAGACACATCCATAGAGATAGTATTTCCGAGAAACATGGTCATAACAATGATAACCCTTTTGGGAAGAAGGGTAACCCAAGAAAACACACAGAAAAGCATGGGTATCAAGTTTACCATGGGAGAAAGAGAGATCATGAAGAAAACAATGACAAGCAAAAATACACATGGGAATGGAGAAAAATGGAGCTTTGGAAAGCAAAAGCTGATGTAGGGCCTTGTACCCTAACACATGAGATGGCATACATTTAATGAGATAGGTAGTAGATAAGATGGCATCCATCCAGAAGCATTTAGGGACATTCATATGAATTAACAACCCATGAGAAACTTCAAGAAGGTAACGGTTTTTTCTTTCTACAACCCCATTTTGTTGGAGTGTTCTAGCACATGAACTGTGGTGAAAGGATCCATGTGAGGTGAGAACTTATTGAGATCATAATGGAATTATTCCTTTGCATTATCAGACTGGAAATTTTGAATTTTAGTCTGAAACTAGGTAAATATCATACACCGGAAATCTTTCACAACCTTTAGAACTTCATCTCTAGAACGCAATGGGTATACCCACACATATTTGGAATGGTCATCAATAAGAGTAATAAAATACTTATAACTAGTCTCAGAGGATAAAGTAACAGGGCCCCAAATAATAGAATGAATAATATGAAAAGGAAATTCGGTTTTATACTCTTTGAAGAAAAAGGATTTCTACAATGTTTACTCAACTGACAAGTTTGCATTTCAATTCAGACATAGACACCGACTCAAACAAGTTTGGAAACAAAATTTTCAATGACCCAAAAGACAAAAGGTCAAGGCGATTATGCCATAAATAGACCTGACTCATAGACTCTGTAGCTGCAAGACCCAACTCTATAACTTCAAAACCAGATTTATTCTCCAACACATAGAGACCATCAACCATACTCCCTCTACCAATCATCACCCCCGAAGTAAAATTTTGTATAACACAAGAGGACAGAAAGAAGGGTACTGAGTAGTTCAATGAATTTGTAATATTACTAATGGAAAATAAGTTTATGGGAAGTTTAGGTACATGCAATACATTTGAAAGAGTAAGGCCCAATGGGAGACAAAGGGTTCCTTGACCAGCTATGGTGGAGAAAGAACCATCAACAAGCCTTTCCTCATCTCTCCTAGAAAGAAGACAATATGACTGAAATAAATTGGACTTGTCATATAGTTTGATGCACCAGAGTCAATAATCCAAGGAGACTCTGAGGTAAGAGAGGATACATGGAAGGCTGTAGCAAAGTTACCTGATGCGGGTGCAAAAGAAGTGGAGGGAGTAGTGCCAGAATCCATCTGATGAAGTGTTCTACCATACAGCTCAAGATGATCATGGAACGAGTTGATGATATCTTCCTTTGGATAAGAACCAGAAGGGTGGTCTTGGTTAAAAGTAGGACCTGAAGTTTGATGCTCTTGTGAAACCCTGTTTGCTGCATTGTATTTCTTCTGGCCTTACTAAATAGGCTTCTTATTCTGTTCCTGGACTGACTTCTCACTCAATTCTTGTGCCCACTTAGGCTTTCCATGAAGATTCCAAAAAGTGTCCCTAGTGTGCCTAGGTCGTTGACAATGAGTGCACCATAACTTATCTTTGCCATCCACCCATTTTTGAGTATCGATACCCTTAAAAAGCACCTCCACTACTTGAATTTGTACCTCCCTTAACAGCTAGAGCAACTGGCTCCCCCTTTGATCAATTCATAACATTCCTCCTGCTTTCTTCTGATTGTACTAGGGCATATACTTCCTGCAGATGGAAGCTCTTTATTTCCCAATATCTAAACCCTAATAGATTCGACATTGGGTTCAGCCCCAAAAGGAAGGCAAAAACCCATTGCTGAGAGACAAGAGATTTGTAGGCCTTAGCATCCTCATCACATTTCCGGCCCACACTTTGATAGTGGTCCAATCCCTTCCAGATGGAGGTCAAATTTGAGTAATATGTGGAGAGACTTCTTTCCCCTTGCTTGTAAGTTGAAGAGGTGACTTGCAACTGATAAGTCTTCTCATAATGCCATTGTTTTGAATAAGTAGATTTAGCTTGTTCCCATATCTCAAACGCAGTTTCAGCTCACATGAAGGTTTTTCTTACTTGTGGCAGCATAGACAACAATAGCCACAACATTATCATGTTGTTTTCTCGGTCCCACCTATCATGTTCTGCACTTCCTGACCTTGGCTCTTTTGTTTTACCACTGATATAACCTATTGTTCCCCTTGCAGTTATGTAGAGTTTAATCCCCTTTGACCATTCTATGTAATTAAGGCCATCAAATGGGATTACAGCCATAGGCAAATTCATGCATAATGCCCCACTCATTCTGCTGTAGCCAGAAGACCCCCCAAGAAACCACTGAATCCTCAGAAAACATCGATAGAAAGAGCTGATAGCACTATTTCAGTCACAAAAAACAGTATGCACAACAGGAAGAAAAACAAACTATTCACCACTATCACAAGAATACTTGGGTTCACATAAACCAGAACTGTAGGTCAATTTCTGTTCGATCAAAAGCACAAGAATATACACTTCTACACTGCTGAAATGAAATCCAGAGAAGAGACAGTCAAATTTCTGGTCTAGACGGTCCCTACAAGGACCAATATACTCTATTTCAGGCCACACGAGCACTCCAAACACCACAAACAAATCGTAAGATTGCTGTTACAGCAGACACAGGTCGTCCAGACCAGCACAACCCAGTTACAGGGTACAAAACAGGATCACACAATCCACATAGAACTGAAAACGCTCTTCACAGCATGAATTCACCCCTTTTTTAGGGGGTTCTTGGAACATGACCAAGAAAGGAAAGAAAAGAAAAAACACTTACAGGTCAGTCGATGTGTTTTCCCACTGGTTTCAATCGGAAGAAGAAGGAATCTGAAGAGATAAGATGATCGAATTGTCTTTAATCTTAGAATCAATGCTCTGATACCATGTTTACTTAGTAAAATGATCAAAGAACAGTAGGAAGAAGAGAGAAGAGAGAAGAGAAAGATTTGGAGTCAAAAAGATGATCTTCCCACACCTACATTTCTATTTATATTAAGGCGACATAAAGAAAAGAATACAATGACAAAAATGCCCCTGTGGCATAGTATAGATATTGTTAACACAACTAATTTTATGTGCTCCATCAAAACATCCTTCTTTATCTAATAAGTATAATCAGGACTTAAACAGATCAAACACTTGTTATATTGACCCCAATCTAACAGTAATATCAAGACCATTGTTAGAAAGTTTGCAGCTCAATTATGTCCAGAAATTTATGGATGGTCAAAAGATACAAAGTTTACAACTTTGCAGTATGGTTAGCAATCTCTTTTCAATCAAAAGTATACAAAGATTGTCAAACTATACCAACTCGTTAGTAAAATGAACAAATAAAATTTCAAGAACTGTTAGATGGGTGAAGATTGTTGGAAATATAATTTCCATATGCTCATTTAAAGCCATTTTATGCCTTCGTTTTGTTTCTTTATTTAATAAAATTGGGGCTTTTGCTTGTAGCTATTTATAATTGTTTAGTCCGGAGGTCAAATTGTAGGACATTTAGGTAATGAGTGAGAGTTATCACAGAAGAGCTGGATGGCACGGTTCCTTGTGAACCTAGAATATCCCAACTATGGGTGGACTTGAGCAGTTCACTTTAAGGTTGGCATGTGGACAGCTTCCATTATAGTGATATCTCAACTATTGGGGTGAGACTCCAAACTGCCATGTGGGTGTGTATTAGATACACATTGATACCGATCCAACTAAGTCTGATCCATCATAGGATCTGTCTATCATTATCAATGATTTGGATCACTCAAATGCAAAGACTTTTCTGCCCTTGGACATAAAGGATTCTCAAGATTGTGGTATCATGATTAACCACTTTGATATACTATGGATGAGGTTGCTATTGGATTTTAACTAACATACTCTGTATGTTGGGAGGTTGAAAGTGATATTACAATTATGGGGATTACCAACAAGGGATTTACACCCTCAAGCAAAAGGAGAGTGTCACAGCCAATAAGTTGGTCTGAACTAGGTCTCTGGCAGTGGAATCCTAGTGAGAGTAGGACTCCTATACAAGAGACTCCTTGTAGCACTAGGACTCATAGGAAAGTTTCTAGGGATTGTCCTGCACTGTCTTGATTAATTTGAGAATCCCTGACATGCCTGGGTTATCATTTTCTACCAGTGGCTGAACTGAATGACTCATTGCTTTGTCTTTTAGTGGATAAGATAATTAAGTAATAAAATATTTGATGATATGGCAATGAATTCAATTTCAACTTCATCTATTAAGGAGATCACAACCTCCTTAATAACTTAGGTTGCATTTGGATAAGCTTCAGGATCTGTGCTTTTAAAGCCCAAAAAGCACAAAACCCAATTTTAGGATTTCTGTTTTGGGGCTTACAAGTGCTTTGGATTTAGATTATAATGTTTTAAAATAAACTCTCACCAAGCACTCAAAAACTTTGTGGATTAATTCTGTTTTCCGAAAACCAAAGCTCAAACTCAAAATAATATCCAAAGAAACCTTGTTCAACTAAAAGGAAGACAATAAATCATTCAGTTCAGTCATTTCAGATGTAATCAAGTGGCCCTAAACAGAAGCTCATACATTCAATTAATGTTAGAGAAATCCAAGTGAAATAGCATAACGCAAATTATTATCTATGGAAATATCCTCCAACTCATGTTGGAGGAAAATAAGGAAGAAAGAAAGAGAATTGTTGTCTTACAAGTACAGTTGTCCAGTCACTTTTTCCAGGAATCTCCTTTTGAGGGCTGCATTTCTCAAAGGCAGGTTCACTACAAAGTCAAGAGTAGAAAAAATACTCACTTTATGCCCAAAGACCACAAAATTTTCCATGTAAGAAAATATATATCTACATTGGAACATGCTGTAATTTTGTGCTTGGATGAGGAAATCTAAATAATATATTCCTGACTTTCACAGAAAAAAAAAAAACTTCCATTTAACTGGGAAGCTTCATATATTTGAATTTCAAGATCATGTTATTTTGTGATTTATTGCAAACTAAGAAGTTTCATAAGAAAAATATAACAAATTCAACCACATTGTCAACAAAATTTCTCTCAGGACATGCAGAATGAATAGAGAATGGAGATAAAAATGGCTGATGACTCAATATCAAGAAGAGAAAAACAAGTGGTAATTTATGGTGAAAGATTTCATTTGATTTCTTATAATGACTTTTATCTGTATACATAGGGACAAACATACATGACCAATTGATTTTCAGAAGCAGGTTATTGGCAATTTGTTCTTCCTTTCTAGCTCATTATCTGCTTCTTTGGTTATCAGTCTTCCCTTCTTTCTTTATTTTTTTATATGGAGCACCACACAACTTCTGATTTGGCTATTTTCTGATACAGTTTTCATGACAATGCGGGTCACTATAATTAAATTTATCCTGTACTTACATGTGAGTTATCTTTTGTTTTGTTCTCCTCGCCTTCTTTCTTTTTCATATGGAATACCACATTACTGCTGAGTAGACTATTTTTTGATGTCAGAGTCAGATTGAAAAGGACAAAGAGAGAGAGAGAGAGAGAGAGAGAGAGAGAGAAAAGAGAAAACAGCAGTTTGGTGGGTGTGTCACCTCATGGCTGTCGATACCCTAAAAGAAATATTTATATTAAAGAAAGTAAAAGGACAAATCTACCCTTAGTGTACAAAAGATAGTGTACAAATAAAAAGATGTACAAAAAGAAAGTAAAAGTACAAAAATATCCCTACGGCTAGTTCTTCTCTGTCCCTACACTCCCCCTCAAACTGATGCCTATGAATGAGCATCAGTTTGTCCATGAGAAATAAGTGTCGGGCCCGAGCCATTGCTTTTGTCAACAGGTCTGCTAGTTGGAGGCTGGAGGGGACATGAGGAAGAGAAATGGTACCCTCAAGAAGGAGATCATAGATGAAGTAGCAATCAACTTCTATATGTTTGGTGTGCTCATGGAAAACGGGGTTGGATGCAATTTTGATTGCACTAACATTGTCTGCATAGAGAGGAACTGACAGTGATGGCTCATTAAGGATGTCAATAAGGAGAGCTCAGAGCCATATAATTTCACAGCACACTGAGGACATTGCTATGTATTCGGCTTCAGTGGAAGATTTTGATACAGTAGGTTGTTTCTTGCACTTCCACGAAATAAAAGAGTTGCCTAAGAATGTCAACTCCTATTTGGTACTGTCTAGAGGTGTTCGATTGTTGATATACTTTCTCAAGATACTTATACATCTCATAGGCAGTCCTATATCCTCTCATAGGGATTGGAATGCTAGTTTCAACTGATCCTAGTATCCATGATGCAATTTTTGCATTGTCAATCTTTCATTGATTAAGAGCCTTGATGTCTAAGTCATCAGGTTTAACCACAGATATATCCAAATATACCCAAAGTCCCTTTGCCTCAACATGGAATTGAAAATTAAACTTCCATAATGCATAGTTCGTACCATTGAACTTAATAGGGAGAACATCCATCCTTTCTGATGCCATTGAAAGACAAGAAACAGCAGTGCACACTTCCAAACAAAGGATATAATTCAAATCAGAAGATAGAAAGAAGTACCTTTCAGTCAATTTCCAGAAAAGGAAATTGTAATGGTCTGCCAAACTCATAAGTAGATCAAAACCCTTCTAAATCAAAGCCAATCCAAAGCAAACCAAAGGGAATCATATCTGCTCTGGGCGACACTAGATCTAAAATTTCAGACTGATCTGATGTCTCTACAAAGAGATCCAATGAGAAAAAGAAATCTGATGGCGCAACAGTCCAGAAAACTGGTCTGTAAAGTTCAGATCAAAAGAAGCCCTAGAAAGGAGATTCAGGGGCACTTGAGAGTTTCCCAAATACCGCTAGGGAGTCCTCAAGAGAACAGTAAAAGAAAGAGTTGAGGAGAGACTGAATGCAGATCAGATTATGACCTGCTTTGATACCATGTCAGAGTCAGATCGAAAAGGACAGAGAGAGAGAGAGAGAAAAGAGAAATCAGTTTGGTGGGTGTGTCACCTCGTGAATGTCGACACCCTAAAATAAATATATATATATATATATATAAATATTAAAGAAAGTAAAAGGACAAATCTGCCCTTAGTGTACAAAAGATAGTGTACAAATAAAAAAGATGTACAAAAAGGAAGTAAAAGTACAAAAACAGCCATGCGGCTAGTTCTTCTCACAGTCCCTACATTTAATACAGTGTTCATGACACTTTGGGTTGTGGTATTAAATTTCTCCTCTCCTTATATGTGATTTAAGATCTATTTTATTCTATTTCGGAAAATGTACCAAAATCATCCTGATCACAAAATTGAAACTTCTATGGTGATTAGGTTATGGAGATCACCTCCAAAGATTCTTATCTCATCTAAGTTATTTTTGTGTTTCTCATTATCTCTGATATTAATGCAGCAACCAAAATATAGCTACTATTCTAAGATGTAACAAGCAGGGCCAATGAGTAATCCTGATGTACAGTCCTTAAAAGCCTAAACTACTTCTTAAGTTTAGAGAAGAAGGGGCTGAGTTCTAGCAGAGTTGAAAACACTAGGGCCTGAAGAATCTGACAGAAATAAGGACCAACGTCCTCTGGTTTTGCACAGGAAAAACAGAGAAAAGAACAAGAAAAAAAAAGTAAATAAACCGTCTTTGTTACTTCCAGGAAAAAAAAACTGCCTTACAATCTGTTCTATCTGTCTTAAATAGACCTTACCATACTTAAGACTTGGAAAACAACTTGAAAGCAATGTTAGAAAGACTGCTAAACTGAAAATAGCTCTTATGATAAGAATCTTAAACTAACTCTTATGAGAAGAATCTTAAACTGACAAAATAACTTCTATAATAAGAATTCTAAACTGACAAAATAACTCTTATAATAATAATCCTAAATTAGCACCTAAAAGGGGCTGTTCAAAAATAAACCAAAGATAACATGGGGCCCACTTGGTTAAACTAACGGGGATGATTTAGGAATTAGGACTGGTATCACCCTCTTAAAGAATACACCTTAGCCACCTTGGGGTAGTCCCACTGTTTAAAGAACTTACTTGTGGCCTGTTGGAGGGTCTTATGGAGATTGGATGGGCTGCAATTTATTATTTTGGGGCAGCATAGGTTGATGCTTTGCATCTGATATGTTATATATTTAAATACATTGGATAAAGGAATAAAAAAAAAAAGATCATCATTCTGATTGGAAAAATAAGACTAAAATATGTAATTGCCAAACTCCTACCAGGGTAAGGATATTAAAAAATATATACAAAATGATAAAGTATGAAATTACCGAAGTCCTATAAGACAAAGAAGATTAAAAATCTATATAATTATGTAGGTAGACTTTCTACACCTAACATAGAAAACAGGACCTAGTTGTCTTTTATCCATTCTGCTTTATCATTTCTTACTCTAGTGTATCAAGGATTTCGTCTCATTTGTCAGAATTGTCTAGTTCCTACTCAAGGAAGGAAAGGCACTGTTGATCTCATTTATGTATGATGGATAATGTGGACCTTAGATTTTTTTGGAGTGTTTTTGAGTTGTCACATTAGATATTTAGGCTCAGTTTGGAAAGAATACAAATACAAATATGCAGAGTACAAACCTTGTATTTTGTATTATTTTGTATGTATTTGTATTGTACACATTGGTATTTGTACTCTTTCCAAACTGAGCCTTAGGTATCTTAGATTTTATATAAACCCTAATGAGTGAAAAGGTATTAATAAAAATCTATGTGGAAAATCCCTAAAATTAGTGAATTTCATTTCTATTAGACAACCTAAGTTTTCAAACTCCCTAGTTGCTTTCCCCATCAAATTGTTAAGTTCAGTGTGGATTTCATAACATATCCTGGTCAGTCTCAGCAAAAACTTTTAACTGTGCCATGTCAACCTAGTTGAAATCCTGGGTGTTGAAACCTTTTTTTTTCATGAGTAACTTGATAAAAGCAGTTTACTGGAAGAAAGAATTTAGCACAAGACTTTTCTACTCTAGATATGAATGGAATAATCATAAAAGGAAAAAAAAAGAAAACAAAAACATCCACAAAGAGGCTGATCAATTTAAAAATTTTATACATGTTTACCCCTGCAAGACATCAGCAAGCACAAAGGTTCTCTTTGAACTCCAGGCCTAACTAAGTCATCTAGTAGTATATCTAGGTATTCAGATGAATGCACTGTTTGAAAAATGGACAGCACATTTTTTATCAGAAATCAGTCACACATTTGAGCATTCATTTTAGATTTGTATGTCATGTTCATGGATGTTATAATACAATATTTAAATCTCTTGTGCTTTACATGATGAAAAAAATTCTAGGGGTCAAAACTGAATTGCAGTTACTCATTCACATAATCAAGAATGAAAGAGACTACTTGTTCAATAAAAAATATTCATATTTATTTAAAAAAAAGTCATTTAATTCATTCTTGAAGCAACTCAATAAAAAAGCATGGAACTCTACCTTCTAATAGCAGACCAACAAAGGAAGACAATGTATGAAGCCATAATCCCTGAAGATAAAAGCCCTCTATTAACCTGTGTTAAGTAGCCCAATATAACCACATTTCAGATGCCTAGTACAGTGGAAATTACATAAAAGAAACTTGATAGAAGAGTGATCCTTATTTCTAAGTTATATTTTTGTTTTTGTTTTGACCTTGGGGCTAAATTGAATGATATACTTACAGAAATACATCAAAACTACAAAAAGTAATATTGGATTGTAGGAGTGTAGAATAAGCAAGAATGTGCATATTATATGCTAAAAGGTTGCAACTTATAGGAATAGAAAGTAATGGTGCAAAGCAAACTTAACAAATAAAAAGGTATTTCAGTTTACATGAACAAATTTATATAACCAACGATACTCTTTAAAATATTATAGGGGGCCTGGGGGCTTGTATGTGGATTTTCTGTTGATTCTTTCTTCAACAAATTAATAGAGCCAAGAGGTGTCAAAGTGACATTCTTCCTATGGACACTGGTCAGAATTATCACTATTAATCATTTGCAAATTGCAAATAAGAGTTATGGTGTTGGAACCTATGAAGCCTCTATGGTTCAGAAAGAGAATTAATTCCACATCTACAGATTCACTGAAGTTTCACTAATAGCAGTTGGGTTCTAGGTTGAATTTTGGGAAATATATGCTTACACCATTTTAATTCTTCATTATCACAAGAATAAATTCCACATAATTGATGTAGAATAATAGGAAGTCCCAGTGGGGGTGTATTGTTGGTAATCTTCCTGGATTTATTCTTTCGGAAATATGGAAGGAGTGTAACAGGAGATATATGGAGGGAAAAAGTAAACGCTCGGAAGAAATTATTAGCAAGATCTCATTTTGGATTAAGGAAATCTCTCAATTCATTGTATTTAAGAGGGATCTTTCTTCTATTCATCAGGCTCATGTGAGTTCTCTGGGTGTGCAAATTCAACTTATTCCTTCTCATAGATATAATCTTGTTTTCTGTTTACCTCCATCCTCAGTGGAAGTCATGATTAATATTGATGGGGTAGGAGGGGCAATCCTGGAATTAGTGGTGGGAAAGGCATCATACAGGACAGTCATAACAATGTTCTTTTGGCATTTCCTCATAGCTATAGAGTTACTACTAATATTGTGGCCAAATGTACAGGGCTATTTTGGATGGCCTATCATAGGCCAAAGTGTTTGGTTTTCTTACAGTTGCAGTGTGCTTGGACTCTAAAGTCATGATTGTTATTTTACAGGGGTCAGCTAAAGCACATTGGAGTATTTGGTATTGGGTGGAATATATTCGGTGACAGTTGGAAGCTTTTTCCTTATTTCTCATACATAATCAAAGAGATAGCAATCAGGTGGTGGACTTCCTAGATGACTTGGCCTGTGACAGGGTTGAAGGTTTGTATATGGATTTTCTAGAGGAGTAAGGTTTTTATGTCCCCCCCCCTTTTCCCAGGTTCTCCCCTCCGGTAAATTTTAAAAGAAAAAGATGTAGGATGCCAAATTCCCTTAATTATGTGCATATTACCAAATTTGTGCTGCATCAACTTTGGTATTAGATAGTTTGTCCTACTCCAACTAATGAACTAACGCTTTTGTATCCATGGTTTTCTCTTCATGTGCAAGAAAGTTTCTAATACTTCAATGAATTTATGATGTAACCATGTGATCATCCATTGTTATGCTTTGTGCCTTGAATTCTTTATTCAGTTTATTGTGATCCGCTTCATGACCCGATCTGAATTAAGTTGAGAAAAACCTAAAGGCAAAATTCATAGTGGTTTCTAGTGGAAGTGTAGGGTGGTGCAGGGTGCCCCTGCAGAAGTTTGAGTCCAATCTATATTCAGCTTATGGGTCCAACCCGAATATGAAGAGTTATGTAGTTTGGAGGTTCTCTCTTGTATATATCTTTTTGGCTTAGATATAAGTTGAGAGGTTTTGGCGTTTTTGGGGTTTAGGGTTTTCAAGTAGAGGTTGTTCCAAACTTTGTGCTCTTCACAATTGTTGATTTTATAGTGAATTTCTGCTCCTCCTTCTCCTGTGGGCATAGGCTATAAGCCAATCCACGTAAATCTATGTGTTGTCTATGTTTTACTTCTCTTTATCTCTGTTTTCACTTCCTTTTTGGGTGCCATTTGAATCTATATTTCTGGGTTTTGTGCAACATCCTCATGATTTTCTCTATGCAACCCAACTAAGGAAAATCTTTACTGTCTGAGATCATCTGCGTAAATCTTTGATGCAGGAGCCAAAGAGCCAAATATAGCATGCATCTTTGTATTTTTAGACAGTAGGGCCAGGGGTATCCATTCAACTTTCTCAAAGGATTGAAGCTGACCTAGGTAAGTTTCCCTTTTAAATGTCATCAAAACCTGATATTTTTCCATTCTGTCCATTTTCATCTTTTTCATTTTGTGCCAAACCATCTCTGATCCCCCCCCCCATATTTTGATGCTCTCATATGCTTACATAATTTCATCCCTGCAGATATTATCCCAAATTTCTACCTAGAACCCTAGATTCTGTCTAGGAAAAATCTACATATAAAGCTTCATTAAAAACCTATTTTCCCAATTGAAACTTTTCACAATTTTGGGAAAATCTGTAATTCTTGCAATTAAGCACTGAGACCTTTTCTAGCCTAACTACTCCCTGTATTTGATTCTAAAATCACTATTAAATCCATCATAACCTTTCTAGAGTCATCCTTTTGGTCATTCAAGTCCTACATCAATTGCTATTAGAGCAGGTTGTCCAACATGAATCCAACTTTGCAATTATACTTTGTCATAGGGTCATATTTTACATTAAATGTTTTCTCCTCAAATGATTTCTCACTACCTCAATTCATGTCTTTCATTCTTCCTTCTATCCCTTGGAGCCTACAATTTGCACAGTGACTACTCACTAGTGCAGTAATACTGTAACAGTCTTTGTTGCACATGATTGACCTTTTCCCATCTTGTTATCTATAGGGACTACATCTAGGTTCTCAGTGAAGTGTTCATTTCTAATTTTTGATATTCTTGTTAGCTGTCATGAGGGCAGCCCAGTGCATGATGCCCCGCCAATGTGGGGTCTGGGGAGGGACAGATGTACACAGCCTTACCCCTGCAGATACACAGGGTAATGTCAATATACTATATTTTAATATGAAAAGGAATAATAACAATGAAAAGAGAATCCCAGGCTAACCAATAACCAAAGTCATGCTCTTTACATAAAATGTGTCTTCCTCAACTAGGAAGTTTTACATCCCAATAGAGTGTGCTGAAAACAAGCCTTATTTCAAGACATTTGTAAGAGTTGCTAATTGTGGAACCTTAAGAAACAAGGTTTTCACTTCGAACATCAAAAAGTTAAAGAATGTGCCTCCCTATTGCATATGCATTATATTTTGTGTTGATCAAGGAATAGTAGAAATTTTCTTGTAATGTGAAATTTATAACCTGTAATATCAAATGTCTGGCCAAATTTTTCTTATGAGAACTACATAGGACATTTGCTAAATAGCGTACCTTTGAATGAAGTGATATAACCATCATTACAGTAAGCAATATCGCAGTCCATGTGATGAAAAATATATTGAGAGTACATGAAGCCCTTGGGGCATACAGCAAGTACATCAACAGAATTCCGCATATAGAAGCAACGTAAAAAATGGTTGACATGATTAATCCAAGGAAGCAGCTGTCAACATAGAGAGGTTGACTTATCAGCCACTTCAAAATCTGGAATTTTAAAGAAGACAAGACAATACAAGCATGATAAAACAAGAAAGTACCATCTTCAGAAAGTTCTTGGTACATTGAAAGTGGAGCATGGAGAAAGGAGAATACTGATGAAATATAGTTTATTTTGGATTACTCTGTATTTATATTTTTTTAAACATGATGCCGTTTTAGTAGCAAGTATATTAATTGTCATTTTCTGTAACTTACTTAGAATTATGTAGATTTATATTTGTTTCTCATATAAAAGGCTTTAACTTATGTCTCAATCACCTAACTTTCAATAGAATAGATATGATGTTTGTAGAGATGTAGACAGGGATACCTAGTTGGTTCTATATGTTTGTTAGGTGCAGAAATATGCTCCCCATCCTTACTTGTTTTGTTTCAGACTGCTGTACTTATTTTTTCTTTCTGTCACAGTCAACAAGGGTATTTTTGTCATTGTATCTTCTTTTTCTCAAGCAATATAAAAGCCAATGAAGGGGGCGGCAGAACCAATTCATTCTGCTTTATCTTTCTCTCATTCCTTCTTTTCCTCTCCCTCTTCTTCTCTTCTTCTTTCTTCTTTTCTTCTCTTGAACAGATCTCGAACTAACCTAGGACTGCTGCATCTGTGTTTCAAGTTGGTATCAGAGCAGGTTTAGGTTTAGTTTAGTTCTCATGTATGCTTAGCCCAGCCGGCTGCATGGGACTCTATTAGGGCTGGAGTTTCAACCTTTTTTTGCCTGATTCTTGGAGGTCAGTGGAGTTCAGTGAATTGTTATTACACCTCCCTGTTTTTTCTGTTTTTCCCAGTGACCATGAAGAATCAGAGAGACCTGTTCAGTTGAGGTTTAGGGGATAAACCTCAGTATTTTCTGGGTAGTTTTTTGACTTGTTTAGAGATCAACTACGAGTGTAGAGCTTTCTGAAGTCTCTGGAAGTTGCGGTTGGATCTTCTCTTGTTCCTTGCTGGAACAACCAGTTTTGTGCTGCAGCCGATTGGTTTCAGCTTGACTGATATTTTTAAAGAGGAAATCACTTCTCTTATCAGAAAAGTTCTGGGAAGTGTGATATTTTTGCTCAGTCCAGGATGGAGAATATGGGAAATGAGTTTCAATCAATCAGGGAAGGATTTGTAGGGGCTGGTAGTGTGACAGACAGCAGATCCTTCCAGATTACGACCATTAAGTTTGATGGAGAAAACTATCTTGAGTGGGCTCAATCTGCAATGATGGCCATTAGAGGAAGGAGTAAGTTAGGGTATGTAAATGGTGACACTAAGATGCCAGCCAAGGAAGACCCTTCCTATGTGAAGTGGGTTCAAGAAAATTACTTAGTCATGACTTGGCTTTGCAACTCAATGCAGCCTCATATCAGTAGAAACTATATGTGGGCAAAGACTGCCAAAGACATCTGGGACAATATGAAAGAAACTTACTCTCAGCCCCTTGATGTCATCATGGTTTAAAATGTCCCTAATTTCCCTAATATTTCCATGACATATTTCCATTTCCATGGGTAGCGACATGAAATTTTACTGGAATCAACATTTCCCCAATGAACACTACCAACACTATGTGGAGTACAAGAGATAGTTTCCATGACATACTTCCATTTCCACTTCCATAGGTAGCAACATGAAATTTTATCAATACTATGTGGAGTACAAGAGATAGTATTATAACATAATTTGGTAACAATATTGTAGGTATGTGAAGTAGCAAGTTATTGTACACCTAACTTATATGACTACCACTTTGAGCTAACTCAATACTCATTTCAAATATAAAGTTAAATATTAGTTTTTGTTTGTGTAATAGATTATTTGGGTAATCTATTACAACCATTTACATTTTCTATGAGTTCAAATTTTGCTTCAACTCATTTTATCATGAAGCTCCAAATCTTAAGGTTTAGAGGGCAACTTAGAACATATTCTTTTGTCTATAACCATAGTTTCTTAGCTTTGTTTAATGATTTAGAATAAGATAATAATTTAAAAAGGTGTGCCTATGCTTCTTTTATCATTTCATAAAATAACATTCTATATTTTGCACATTTTACAATGGTTCCACCATATCTATAATTTTTACAATATTTTCGTGCGATATTTCCGGAATTTCCGACATATTTGGATGACCCACATTTCCACCTACATCGACATTTCAAACCTTGGATGTAGCAAGGGCCTATGAGCTGAAAGTTGAAGTGACAATTCTGAAACAGGGGGAGAAACCTGTGTCAATTTACTTATCAACCTTGAAGTCTCTATGGCATAAAATTGATCAGTTGGAGACAATTGAATGGGAAAGTCAGAAGGACGCAACAACATATAACAAATTGGTGGAAAGAAACAAGGTTTTTGAATTTCTTGCAGGGCTAAATTCTAAATATGATATAATGAGACAACAACTTCTTACTATGGAGAGTGTTTCCTTGTCTCAAGCATATTCTTTAGTGCACAGTGAGGAGAGTAGGAGGAAAGTTATGCTACAAAACTCTCAGATTGAAATAGCTTTAGCAGCTATGAAGCCCAAGCATTATGTGACAAGGAGAGAGAGGTAAGGAAGGAAGAAAAAAGGGAGATTATATGTGACTATTGCAAGAATCCTAGACACACTAAAGAGACCTGTTGGAAGCTCCATCCTTAGTTGACACCTTCAAGAATTAAGAATAAGAAGAGAAATGCAAATGTTGCCACTACTACAGATGTTTCACCCTTTACTAGAGCTAGATCTACCTCCTTGGATGCCTTGTCTGCTATTAGGGCAGTCCTGACATAGTTGGAGAATGAGACTAGCATTTCTAGACCATCTTAGTCTACCTCAAGCCCTCCTACCTCCACTTTGGCTTTTGCTCACTCAGATACTAGAGCTACTGCCTATCATTCCTCGACTCTAGGTAACACTGATCTTGTTTGGATTGTAGATCCGAGTGCCTCTAACCATATGACAAATTTAGCCTCATTGTTTTCTTCTTATCATTTGTCCTTTGGTAGAGATAAGCTCTCTATTGTTGATGGCTCTCTTGTTCCCATTTCTGCAGGGGGGACATTAGAGTTTTTGGTGCACTTTCCTTATCATCATATTTACATGTGCCCAAATTTAGTACTAACCTTCTTTTTGTTAGTAGCATTACTAAAAGTCAGAATTGTTCAATGACCTTTTTTCTTGATCATTGTGTTTTCCAAGATCTGATGACAAAAAAGGTGACTAGGACTGGCCATGAGGCAGATGGGATCTACTTGCTTGAGCATCCACCTAGAAGAAATGAGGGAGTTGGAAAGTCTTTTGTCTCTCAATCTGTGAGTCAAATTATGCTCTGGCATAATAGGTTAGGTCATTTGTGCTTTGGGTCTTTAAGGAGTCTTTTTACTACTTTGTTTGAATCAATCCAAGTGTCCAATCTAAAGTGTGAAAGTTGTGAGTTGGCAAAACATTGTAGATCAGTCTATACTTTTAGTAATAAAAGAAGCATTATTCCTTTTGAAATTGTGCATAATGATGTTTGGGGACCATATCATATCACTGCTATGGGGGGATATAAGTATTTCTTGTTATTTGTTGATGATTATTCTTGTTTCTCTTGGGTTTATCTCATGCGTTCCCGTGATGTGGTCCCTACTTTGACCGGTGACTTCCACCAATTGGTTCTCAATCAATTTGGGGTGAGGATCAAAACCTTTAGATCTAATAGTGTCAACGAGTACTTCACTAAATCATTGAACTCGTACTTCCTTGAAAATTCATCAGAGCACCTGTCCTCATACCCCTCAACAAAATGGGTTAGTTGAGAGAAAGAACAGACACATCCTTTAGGTTGCAAGAAGCATTATGCTTAATTCAAATGCTCCTTTACGTTTTTGGGGGGATGCAATTCATACGGCTGTGTATCTCATTAACTGAGCTCCCTCTTGTATCTTGGGTACGAAAGCTCCTTTCACTTTATTGTATCCTGAGAAAAACTTGTTTACTATCCCTCTTAAAGTCTTTGGGTGCACATGTTTTGTTCAGATTTTGGGGCCTATCGTTCTAAATTTGATCCAAAAGCCTCCAAATGCATTTTCCTTGGTTATGCACAAAATCAAAAGGGAATTTTCTATTATGACCCAATTTCTAGTTCTCGATTTGTGTCTATGGATGTAACCTTTTTTGAGGATGATCCTTTTTATCCGGGAGTTTCATATCAAGTGGAGAGAGAAGAGAGGGGTGTGTTTGTTCTTGAAGTTCCCCTTCCTATTCCTGTTCTTAAATAGGAATTATGTTAGGAGGGTCACCATCTGAAATGTAAGGAGTTGAAGGTTTTCCATAGGAGATGGAGGCAAGTTGATTTTGGTGCTCTTGACTAGCCCAGGCCAGTTCCAGTTTCCTCTACAGCACCTGATCCAGATACTACCACTTCACCTTCCACTCTTGAGACTACCACCACTGAGCCATTGTCTTCTACTAATGATCTTGACCTTCCCATTGCAATCCATAAAGGGAAACGGAGATGTACCACATCCATTGCTCATTGCATATCTTAGTTTCTTTCATATGACCACCTTTCCCCATCCTATAAATCCTATTTGGCATCCATTTTTGCTATATCTATTCCTAAAACTATGCAGGAAGCTCTCTCTATGCCTGAATGGAAAGATGCAATCAAGGAGGAAATGAATGCACTCATTAATAATGAGACATGGGAGCTGGTGGATCAACCTGAAGGAAAGAAACCAGTTGGGTGTAGATGGGTGTTCACTATGAAGCATAGTGTAGATAGATCAGTTGAAAGATATAAAGCCCACCTTGTGGAAAAGGGGTACACACAGACCTATGGCATTGATTACTCTAAGACCTTTGCACTAGTTGCTAAGATGAATACTATCCATGTTTTATTATCTCTAGCTACAAACTATTCATGGCCCATGTTCCAAATGGATGTCAAGAACGCTTTCCTCAATGGTGATTTACAAGAGGAAGTGTATATGGAGTTGCCCCTAGTTTCTATGATGCAAATGCAAGCAAGAAAGTTTGCAGACTGAAGAAGGCATTGTATGGTTTAAAGCAATCTCCAAGGGCTTGGTTTGACAGGTTTAGACTTTCTCTAGAGAAATTTAGGTATATACAGGCTCACTCAAACCACACACTTTTTATCAAGAGGAGTGGTTCCTCTCTGACACTCCTTGCTATACATGTAGATGATATTGTGGCAACAGGCAGTGATGTTGATGAGATTAATTCCCTCAAGCAATTACTTCACAAAGAGTTTGAGGTGAAAGATTTGGGTCATCTCCGATATTTTATGGGAATTGAGGTGGCTAGATCTAAACATGGTATTTTCATTTCTTGGAGGAAATATGTCCTTGACCTTTTGGAGGAAACATGAAAATTGGGAGTTAAACTTCCAGATACTCCCATTGAATTGCATCATAAGATAAGTGCAGAAGAAGGTGAACCTCTTGATGACATGACCATGTATCAATGGCTGGTTGGGAAACTTTTGTATCTTTGTATGACTCGGCCTGACATTTCTTATGTTGCCAGTGTTGTTAGTCAATACATGCACTCTCCAAGAACCACTCATTTGTTCGCCGTTGAGCGGATCCTAGCATATCTCAAGAGGTGTCTAGGTCATGGAATACTCTTCAAGAATAATGGTCATATGAAGATTGAGGTGTACACTTTGTGGATTGGGCTGGATGTGTAGATGACAAGAGGTCTACCTCTAGGTACTGTGCCTTTGTTGGAGGAAATCTGGTTTCATGGTGAAGTAAGAAACAAAATGCGGTAGCTCATTCAAGTTGTAAAGCAGAATACAGATCTATGGCTCATGGAGTGGCATAAGTTCTATGGCTGAAACCCTTACTTGAAGAACTTGGAATTGAGCATGAGAAGCCCTTAATGCTGTATTGTGACAATCAAGCTACTATTAATATTGCCCATAACCCAATATAGCATGACAGGATGAAACACATTGAAGTGGATTGACACTTTATTAGGGAGAGAGTAGCCTCCCAAGAAGTGTGCTTGCCATATATTGCCTCTGATATGCAATTCTTATTTTTCTGTAATTTATGATTTTTTGTTGAAATATATAAATTTTGAAAATTTTATGATTTTAGGTATTTTATGCAATTCTTATTTTTTTATCTTTTTTTGTTTTTTTATAATTTCTCAATTGAAATATATATATATTTATTTTGATTTTTTATCAATTTGTGTATTTTATTCAATTTCTACTTTTTTGAAATATATATTTTAAAATTTCCTTGTTTTCTGCAATTTTATTGTTTTTGTTGTGATTTTTTTTTGCAAATTTTGTGTTTTTATTATTTCTTTGTATTTTTTTGTCTTTTTTCTGTAATTTTTTAATATTTATAGAGTTATTTGGTATAATATTTATATTTTCTTAATATTTTCATTGGGTTAATGGGTCATATGGGTGGGTCAGGGTCAAGGTGGGTTGTGACCCACTAATACCCAATAAATATGGGTGGCAATGGGTCAATGGGTCAATATGGGTGGGTTGGTACTCAACCCACACCCAACCCAACCCAACCCAACCCACCCATTTGCCACCCCTACTCTTCACCAAGGCAGTCCCTAAAGTCAAGATGGAAACAGATTTACACAAGTTGGGAATGCTCAATATCTATTCCCAACTTGAGGGGGAGTGTAGAGATGTAGACAGGGATACCTAGTTGGTTCTATATGTTTGTTAGGTGCAGAAATATGCTCCCCATCCTTATTTGTTTTGTTTCAGACTGCTGTACTTATTTTTTCTCTGTCACAGTCAATAGGGGTATTTTTGTCATCATATCTTCTTTTTCTCAAGTAATATAAAATCCAATGAAGGGGGTGGCAGAACCAATTCATTCTACTCTCTTTCTCTCATTTCTTCTTTTCCTCTCCCTCTCTTCTTTTTCTTCCCTTCTTCTTTCTTCTTCTTTTGTTCTCTTGAACAGATCTCGAACTAAGCTAGGACTGCTGCAGTGTGTTTCAAGTATGTTGAATAGATATCGACCAATACTTCTCCCACGGTCTTACGGCCTAACTTGGTAGTAGAGTAGGGGAGTTGGAAGAAGTAAGTTGAATGTACTTTGGATGAAAATTGCTAGTTAATTTGTTATTGAATAGCGTAATTTTAGTCCTTTTATTTTTTTCATTATATTTCAGTCCGAGTTGGTATAGCTTCTTCACTTCTTTTTACTTAAAAAAATCTTCTCATTTCTCAAACTAGGGTTAGCAGATTTAGGATGGCTTAAACATTAGTATACATCGGTATCAAGTTATGGTGTTTTAGGAGTAGTATACTTGTGTTACACCAAAATATTCTACCCAAGGTTCAAAAAATCATTACGTATCAGCCAATACATATCATATCGGGAGTGCCTCGATATGCCCATACAGAGGGTGTATCGGGGACTGGTTCAAGGGGTGGAGGAACCTTAAACCGGACCTCCCGAACCGGATTTGAAAAACAAAAGTAAAAAAATAAAAAAACAATACTGATACTGCCCGATACGCCCCTACTGGCGTATCGGGTGTATAACCTTGATTCTACCTTTTAAACTTAGAATTGTTAGAGAATAAAAACCTATATTCATGTACCTCACCTAACAGCTTAAGCTTTTAGGCTGAATGGTTCCTTGAGATGGTAACAGAGCCTGTTTGACCAAGTAGTAGTGTTCAATCCTAGTTGCCCCCATTATAATTAACTAAATTTCAGCACAAGGTATGGGTAGGCCTGTGCTTATCCACGTTTCAAGCCTGATGGGATTTTGCGTGAGGGGATGTGTTAGAGAATAAAATCCTATTCAGGGACCTCACCTAACAGCTTAAGCTTTTAGGTTAAACGGTTCCTTGATAAGAATCAGTGGTACATGTGTAATACATATGAATAAGAATGTTGGGTTTGGATTGGATCAGGTTTCTTGAGGCCTCAACCCTAACCCAATTCAAAGCTAAATTGGGTTCATAATATTCAAACCTAACACTAATCAGACCTTCAACTTAACCCAACTTTTTGGGTTGGTTTGGGCTAACCAAGACCCAGGTTGTACCTCTAATCTCTAATTAGGTCCCAAACACCTCCACAATTAAGGGAAAACAAGTTTTTTTTTTATGCGACTCACGTGAGCAATCAAGGTTATCTAAGGAAGTCAAGTTCTAGGTAAGTGTTGCTCAAATATGATGGCAGCATATTTTGGGACTACAGTAGCCCTATTGGGGATGCAGATTCTACCAAGTTTGAGAGTCTGACATCCTCATAGGCTCTCAGATTTCCAAGAAATCTAATGTCACATCCCTTATAGTGGAAGGTAATTCAATGAATGTCACTGGATGGACCCAAGGAAAGGGTAGAGGTTCATGGAGTCCCGATCTCCTGCCTACGTTTGCCCACATAACATCACAGCCACACACGGAGAATATCTCATCCTCCTGCAGAGTATTATGCAGGGGGAGATGTTCCCAATTCACGGGGGTAGTGTGTTGTGAGTCGTGGGCAGGAGATCCCACATCAGGTTCATGGCACCTACATCAGTTTAAGAATCAGAGAGGTGTTGGCTGCATGCTTTGCCGATAGCAGATGGGTTCATGGATAACTTAACTCTATTACCAACGGTCTAATTAGATCTGTAGTGAAAGGGGCCATTATGTATGGCAAAAGGTCCTTATCACCTAGTTTTTGCTTGGAGGTCTGTTATTCCACATTTTTGTGCATTTGTTGTATCTTGTTAGGTCTGTGGCATAAAAGGGCTCCTTTGTATAGAGTTAGACATCGTTTGCATAAAATTATGTTCTTAAAGCTTTAGATCAACTTTTAGAATTATCTCTTAGCAACTTACTTTAAGTTTGGAAGTTCATCAAGTTATTACATGAGTTTAATGTCCATCCTAGAGGATAATTTGAAATGAAAACACATTTTGTAGATGTAATAACTTTTCAGAAGAAAATTTGTTATCCAAAATATATTTCTATAAGAGGTTTGGTTGACCATGCCCAAAAAATGCCACAGTTGAAAAGTGTAAAGAGAATATTTATAATATTGTTCTAAGAATACTAAATATATACCTTTGCCTTTCTGGATCAGGCATCCAGTAGTTATTCCACCACGTTATGAATTCTATCACACTTATAAGTTGAAGAAGGAGAAAGGTCCTGTATCACATAGATTACAGAATTACATATCACATTTCTGTAGATTTTGAAGATTTGAAAGAAGAAAGAATTTGTTTGATAATTTCTCATGTTTCTTTCTTCTTTTTGAGGTGGGGGTGGATAGTAGGGTGTGAGGTTGGGAGGTGAACATGAAACATAACACAAATAAAGCAAGAAATTCATAACCTAACGCCCATTTGTATATTATACATCTAGAAGCATAAGCTTTGGGCAGGAACTACTATCTCCAAGTGTATTTTTTCTTTTGATAGCACTCAAACGTGTCATAATATTAAATTTCTTAACTCATTATGACTTTTCAGCGTAGTGGAGCTTAAAAATCAATCTCCACTGACCTTACATCAACTAAGTACTTAACTAAGAAGAAAAATTCTAAAACTTTTTTTGTTGATGAAAAAACAATTCACTATTCATTTTTTTGTTTTTGGCTGAAAGAAAGTACATCCATATTGGCACATATCTTATTTTCCCTTGTATGTATCTTGGAATTTTTCCAACTCTGAGATAGTTGTCAGAAGAAAAAGATGATGATGATGATGATGATGTTGATTTATCAGCCAAAATTATGGCCTTGAAGAATGTATTTTCTATTTTTCTATGATCACAATATTTTGAAATATGGCATCATATTAAATTAATGTAACTATTCCAAAGTTTGTTAGCTTAACCAAGTTAGTTAAGATGTAACATAATTGTAATATTTGATCCCCTATATTTACTTTTTCAAGAAATAATTATTCTAAGATATTTGTCGACTTTATTTTTATTTTGAGGTCATATAGTCTTTGTTCTTTTTTCCCTGGATGTTACTCAGGAAAGGTTTGGTTCTTTTGCATAATTCTTCACTATTCATACTTGAGGAATAACCGTCCAGTTTTCCTCTAACCTTGACAGACACTGAGCCATAAGGACGGGAAAACCTGTTTACAACTTATGTAATAATGTTCCAAGAGTCGACGTCTATATCTTGTTAATAGAAAAAATAAGCATATTTGGAAAAGAAAGTTTTAATAGGAAAATGAGCATATTTTCTCAGCAATTAAAGTATTCTGCGGACATTAATAGAATAGGTTCAAGAAACCTATAGCAGACACATAAAATAGAAGCATATAAGAGAAGGATCTGAAGATCACCCTGCACCAATGCGAGCAGCTTCACCTGCAAGAAAATGGTTACAAAATTGTTATATACTGCTACTACAACTCCTTGCCACATTCTAGTATTGATGGTTCATAGTATTAGGGCTTGAAACTGGGTTGATTTGAAAACAATGTTGAACAACAGAACGGAAACAAAAATTTAAGTGAAGATTTGAAGTACTTCCATGGTTTTGGAAAACTTCCAAAATGATTTCTGCCCTTTCAACTTTTATATGTAATAGACAAATAAGAATCCCAAGCTCTTCAACAAAACTATGGAAGTGCCATGGTAATATAGACTCAACTCCATATAGAAAGTTTTCATGGATCAGAAGATCAAATTGCCACCTTCATCTCCATCTCCAAGATGCAAAAAAAAATAATAATAATAATAATAATAATGGAGGTAAAGATGGCAGGGAGAAAGTTTAGGCTTTGGAATGTTTTTGAATGCCACTACGTTAAGCTTACCATATAATTCAATGAAAGACAAAGGGAAGAAGAATGGTACTGCCAGTGATATCATCAACAGGATAAACTTCAATGACCACCATCTGGAATGCCATATATTGCGAGTTCCATATAACTTTCTGGTTTTGCATGTTGTCAAGAACATTAACAAGAAAAATATCTAGACATTTTGTCAAGGATATGCAAGATATCAGTGAAAATTCTATGGAAAAAAAAATCCACACAGGCAAAGGAAAAAAAATCATATGAATTGGAATGTTCCAGTTTTTGAACTGACAGCTTTTCATATCAAACATCAATCATTGGGTTTAAACCTTTCATCATTTTTTTATTAGTAGGAGGTTCACCATCAAATCAATGTCAACTAATAATATATGACATCAAAATTTTGTATTCAGGTTAAAAATATCTTATAAATTTATGATTAGTAGCTTATACTCATAGGCTATAATTAGAACCATATCCCAAATAACTATAAATTAGAATAAGATTTCAATGACAAACAATGAAAAATTAAGATGATCCTCACTCCCTCACACACCATAAAAAAAGCACCACTCACACAAGAAATCCTTAAAAAGACAAGAGAACCCTTTACATTATTTTGTTTCTTAAAAGAAGAAAAGATACGAAGCATCCTAAACTGACACGGAGTACCCCCATAGTATGAAAACAATCATTTCCTCCATTTCCACAAGCTTTTATATCTGCAAAAAGAAAAAAAAATCATAGTAAGAAAAACTTTGAACAAAAACCTGGAACAGAATCCCAACAACGTGTTCAACTGAAAACAATTTTGCCTCATATATGAACAGAAAGATTAGGAACAGAAGTTTTCCAACTACAGAGATGAAGAGAATCTACAAAATTGACTAAATATTGGGTCATTGTAAGGGAGTCAACAAATGTAAAATGGTGAAGATCAGTTTGTCTTTTTACAATTATGGATTCATCTAACATGTTAAATATTTTGGTCCAACATGCAAGTTAAATATAAAGTTTTGCCTCTTTGGAAACATGTTATCATTCATGTTCCATCTAGAATATAGATGCCTGAATAACTCAATCATGAATTTCACCTAAGGATTATGAAAATTATAAATGCATCAGAAATCTTAATGAGAAGCTAGAAAATGAGGAATGCAAACAGAATGTGGTTTCAGAGAAGAGGCCCTAGAAATTCAGGTAACTAGTTGGAATTTGGTAATGAACTTTTTCTTCTAAACAAAATATCAAAATCTTGAGGTTTTCAGGAAGAGATTGAAATATCTTTCAAATGATCTGCATTCAATGTTTCTCTTGGACAAGTTATTTTTCCAAAGATTTATTCATTGTCAAAATGCACAACCATTGCTCTTGGTTCAAACTTTTCTTCTAAAAAAGCTATTGACCATTTGACAAGAAAAGGCAAAAGAAAAAATACAAAGAAAAAAAGGACACAGAGTACTAATAAGCTAGGAATTCAATGATCTAAAAATCATAATATTATCATAAATCATAGATGAAGATGATCAAGACTGCTATCAGTCTTGGGCACTAAGGAATTTCTGGTTCGAACAGAAGAGAAAGTGAAGAAGAAAGAGGAGAAAGATTAGTGAGAGAGCAGTAGAACACAGGTTTGAAAGAAAGGACAGATTCTGAATAATCTGCCGCCGCCACTTCAATTTAATATTTATATGTTATGCTAGTTACATGAAAGGACATATCT